AAGTGTAAAAATTAAAATCATATGTACTATATAGCAGCAATGGGGTACTCCATATTTGTTTGTAAGAATGTTTGTTCAGGAAACAATACTGAATGAAAGCAATGATTTCAGCATCAGAATATTCTTAGCAGCTTTGGTTTCGATGAGGAAACACCAGAAACAACAAACACCCAAATCTATCAAAATTGGAGGAGAGATGAAGGTGAAATCTATTGAAATAGATCCGTGGCATAGACCAAAAGGTTGGCAATTATTATACATGGATAGGAGAATGATTATTGATTTTTATTTTTCCTATGAATGTTACTAGATTTCTTTTAAAAGTGAAGTTTCATTATTTGAATAACAAAACAAAACTTTTAAAAAAATTAAAAAGAAAAACAAAAAGTGAGATATGGTCCTCATAGCATTATATTGGCAAAAAAAAAACCCGAAGCTTAAAATATCCAAAGAGATACTTGTGCAGGAAATGGACATTCCCTAAAGTACTAGTGGAAATATAAATTGGTGTATTCAGGCTACTTGATAATATAGTTAAAGAATATTAAAAGGTTTCTACTTTTCAACACCCCTTTTAAGTATTTATCTTAAGTAAATAATACAAGAATGCTGCTGCAGAATTATTTACCACAGATTCACGTTTCTGGGAAAAATTTAGAAACTACTTTTTAAAGCCCAACGTGAAGAAACACTTAAAAAAAACAATTCTGATCCACTTATACAATGGCAGTGAGTTGCAGGAGAATATTTAGTAGCAAAGGATGTTTTAGATGTATTTACAATATACTTAAATAAAAATTTTGACAGAATACTTTCACTATGAACACAGAATATACATTTAGTATAGAATATATTCAGTATGATTTTATAATGGTTTCAAAATTTACAAAAGGCAAAGCCTGCAAAGGCATAATCTCTTTAAAGTGGCTATTGTGCATATATAATATGTGTGTCTTTTTAAAGTAACGCACTTGTAAAACGAAATAATTTTTTAAAACTACAAGCCTAAATAATTTCCCATAACTTAAAAAAATACTAACTTAAGGAGATGGTAAAGGAAATATGCATTCTCTTACACTGTTGGAGGGCATAAACTTTGTGGACGAAGCATTTGGCAGCAGAGAGCAAGATATATAAGGCAATTAAATATTTCTTGATGTCAGCAAACATTCACCTCCAAATGTGTTACGGAAAAGTCATAGCCATTTAAAAAAATATATCGAGGGGCAGGATTTTGGAAATTATAGTTCATCTGTAAAATGAAACACCAAGTAAAAATAAAATTATAGGAGACTATTAAAGAATTTGGAAAGATGGTAAGTAAAATTTCTTATGCTGAAAATATACCATAATGAAACATACATCCTATATTACATTTTTGGAGGTATTAGTTATTTTCATGTATGTCTCAAATGCTTCAAAAGTTTTTTCTATTTTCGTCAAGTGGTAGAATCAAGAATGATTTTCAACTTTAGAATATTTTAAAAAATGCTTTTAGTTGATACTGTATTGTCTGCATAAAGATGAATGTTTAAAACAAATAGAAACAAAAAATCTCAAATTATAAGTAATTTAATATCAAGTCTCAAAAACTGTACAGGTATCCAGGTACACTCACAATATCTGCGTAGTTTATGAGGGTAAATTGGTACTATCTTTATCAATGGTCTCTTACTAAAGAAGGAAAAAAAAAAGATTTTAAGCCTCCCAATCTTTTCATCCTTCAATTATACTATGAACGTTTGTTCAGGAAATAAACATGAATGTAATGTTTGTGCACTGTGATCCTGTTGGCAGCTTTGGCTTGTGTAAGAAAACAAAATGAAACAACCCAGATGTCCAACAATTACTTAAAACAAATATATCCCTATATCTATATCTAATATGTACATATATCTATCACTCTATCCAGCCCAATCACACATTAGAGCACTAAACATCCATGAAAACTATTTTAGAAGAATATTTAATGACATGAAAGTTCAAGAATATCTATAAATCTATGTCTATAATATATATTTATGTGTGAAAAAGCAGATATTGAAACAGTATATACAATAATTTCACATATATATCACGTAAAAATACGGGGCAGATACAGATGAAAATGTTTCAGGAATGTATAAGTAATCATCAGAAACGATTACGGGTGACATTAATTTTTCTCTGTTAACTTGTCTGCTTCGTGATTTTTTTTTTTTTCCTGCAATGACGCTGAATTACTTTTCTGACAAAAGGGAAAAGGACAGGAAGTGGGCACAGAGGAAGGGGGTATTAAACAGTGTTGGATTGCAGCAGAACCACCTAAGACAGCGAAATACCCTTTGCAGCCCGACAAGCTGGCCAACACACACACACAGACACACACACGCACGCACACACACAGGCACACACGCACACATGCACACACACATACCATCAATTACGGTGACCAAGAGACTATGCAGGGGAAACGGGCATACTCTTTACTAGCTGCGCTGGCCGGCACGAGTGCAAATCGGTACAATGCTTATGAAGAGGGCCTTTTGGCAACACACAGGAAAAGTCTTTAAAATGTCTCTATGTGGATCTTGCAAGTCCACAGTTAAGGAGACCACCGCACCGGGATGCTGGCAAAGATTTGGCTTGACAAGGAAGGATTCACTCATCAAAGCACAGAGCACGCAATGTTGGTCTTAAACACAGGGAAAGAACTAGGCACCACCTGAATGTCCAACAATGTGGGAATGATTACAGAAATGTTAAGGTCCACGGATACACTGGAGCACTCTGCAGGCACTGAAGATGACGTTTCATAAGCCTGTTGATAACATGGAAAGAAGTTCAATGGGTTGATTTTTGTTTGGTTTTAGTTGCTGAAAAGCAGGTTAAGAAACACCACATACATGAACCATTCTATAACAGTGTGTTAAAAGGGAAGGCGGGGTGGGGGTGAGCAAAGGAGAGAGAGGGAGAGAAGAGAGCCTGGAAAAGCAGCACACCAAAAAGGTAAAAGTGGTTCTCTCTGGGGAGTGGGACCAGGGGAGCAATTACTCTCTTGTTTCTTCCCTCATCTAACATCCTTCTCCTTTCTGATGTTTCTACCATGAAATGGTATCACCTGTGCAGTAAACAAAGAGAGAATGAAAATGCTTTTTAAACCAAACCACAGGGAGGAGAG